TGTTGATGATGCTATATATGACACTACGGTTGTTGATGATGCTATATATGACACTACGGTTGTTGATGATGCTATATATGACACTACGGTTGTTGATGTTGCTATATATGACACTACGGTTGTTGATGATGCTATATATGACACTACGGTTGTTGATGATGCTATATATGACACTACGGTTGTTGATGATGCTATATATGACACTACGGTTGTTGATGATGCTATATATGACACTACGGTTGTTGATGATGCTATATATGACACTACGGTTGTTAATGATGCTATATATGACACTACGGTTGTTGATGATGCTATATATGACACTACGGTTGTTGATGATGCTATATATGACACTACGGTTGTTGATGATGCTATATACGACACTACGGTTGTTGATGATGCTATATATGACACTACGGTTGTTGATGATGCTATATACGACACTACGGTTGTTGATGATGATGCTATATATGACACTACTACGGTTGTTAATGTTGCTATATACGACACTACGGTTGTTGATGATGTTATATACGACACTACGGTTGTTGATGATGCTATATACGACACTACGGTTGTTGATGATGCTATATATGACACTACGGTTGTTGATGATGTTATATATGACACTACGGTTGTTAATGATGCTATATATGCTATACGGTTGTTGATGACGACACTACGGTTGTTGATGATGCTATATACGACACTACGGTTGTTGATGATGCTATATACGACACTACGGTTAATGATAATGACACTACGGTTGTTAATATGCTATATATGACTACGGTTGTTGATGATATATATATGACACTACGGTTGTTGATGATGCTATATATGACACTACGGTTGTTGATGATGCTATATATGACACTACGGTTGTTGATGATGCTATATATGACACTACGGTTTGTTATATGATGTTGATGATTATATATGACACTACGGTTGTTGATGATGCTATATATGACACTACGGTTGTTGATGATGCTATATACGACACTACGGTTGTTGATGATGCTATATACGACACTACGGTTGTTGATGTTGCTATATACGACACTACGGTTGTTGATGATGCTATATATGACACTACGGTTGTTGATGATGCTATATTATATATGACTACTACGACACTACGGTTGATGATGCTATATACGACACTACGGTTGTTGATGTTGCTATATATAACACTACGGTTGTTGATGTTGCTATATACGACACTATGGTTGTTGATGATGCTATATATGACACTATGGTTGTTGAAGATGCTATATATGACACTATGGTTGTTGATGATGCTATATATGACACTACGGTTGTTGATGATGCTATATACGACACTACGGTTGTTGATGATGCTATATATGACACTACGGTTGTTGATGTTGCTATATACGACACTACGGTTGTTAATGATGCTATATATGACACTACGGTTGTTGATGATGCTATATATGACACTACGGTTGTTAATGATAGTATATATAAGACTACGATTGCTGAGGATCAAGTAGAGTGAAATTCAGATTGCGAATCCTCATAATTTTACCTTGCCAACTGAACATCTAAATCTCAGAATTTTACTCACCTAAGGATAAAAGTTGTTTAACATACGATCATACATTCAAATCGCTATTATTAGTTTGTATTACAAGGGGGTAAGGGCAGTAGTTGGAACAGTGAAACAAATGCACGTGCGGTACGTGATGAGCGTTAACTTAGACCAACCCTACTTGTTCTCGGTGTTTCATTCAATGTGTATACGCCCTTGTAATACAAACCAATAGTAGCGATTTGAAACTATAATCGTTTGTTAAACAACTTCACTGCAAACAGACTATACGACTACGTTCACGTTCAAGCAATCTCCAGGCATATTCCACCCAGATTCACATATAAATGTACCCGTGAAGATCCGGGTTAGAATTGATCTTCTGTAACCCATGCTTGTCGTAAGAGGCGACTAACGGGATCGGGTGGCCAGGCTCGCTGACTTAGTTGTCACATGTCATCGTATCTCAATTGCGTAGATCGATGCTCATGATGTTAATCACAGGATTGTTTGGCCCAGACTCGATTATTTACAGACCACCACCATACAGATGGAATATTGCTGATTGCGGCGTAAAACTAAGCTCACTCACTCCCTCAGATATAAATGAATGAATACTCTATATTTCCCCCAATGATTTAGAACGTACATTACTGTCATTACATTACATTACTGGTCAGTGGCAATGAAAATAGAGACATACATATGACAATGAAGCAGGGTATTCAGAAACGAAGAGAAATATGAAGAACTGTATTTACATGGTGAGAGGCATAATTTCTCAGATATAATGAGTGGTTAAAGCGTCCGCCCGGAGAGCGGAAGGTCGCGGGTTCGATACCAAAAGACGTTAAAATATGGTACTTGTTGGTCCCTGCCTGGCGTTTGGCATTAATGGGTACAACAAGGACTGGTCGGCTCGGAGTCAGTATTCTGTGTCTGAGTGGGGTATTCATGCTTCACTGCGGCGTGGTATCTCAGTGGGCTAGCACTATAAAACCAGCTTATTTAAGTCAGGGCTAGTACAAACAGCCGCACATACACATACACACGCATGCACGTCGTCATATGAGTGAAATATTCTCCAGCACGACGTTAACCTCAATTTCACCTCACCTCACCTCACCTCACCTCACCTCACCTCACCTCAGATATAATATACACCTGAAGCTCAATGACCTGACCTTTTTAGCCACGATTCACATGACTGTTGCCCAGTTGTCAAGTGTCATATTGAACCACATCCACAGGGGCGTGTCACGCTTAGAAACAGCGTTAGAAAGACATATAGGTACATAGCCCCTCCCCTAGTACTATAATAGTACTAGGGTAGGGTCTATGTACCTATATGTCTTTCTAATAGTACTAGGGGAGGGGCTATGTACCTATATGTCTTTCTAACGCTGTTTCTTAGCGTGAAACCTATATGTCTTTCTAACGCTGTTTCTTAGCGTGACACGCCCCTGTGGATGTGGTTATAGTACTAGGGTAGGGTCTATGTACCAGGGTAGGGTCTATGTGCCTATATGTCTTTCTAACGCTGTTTCTTAGCGTGACACGCCCCTGTGACCACATCTGTAATGGCACCGAGATATGTCAGACCTTATCTTCATCACCAGCAGTGTCCTCGAGTCTGAGACAGGTGTCACAGCTAAGGTTATCAAATAAAGACTCACTTAGCACATTTCATGCATTTTGCTGCGATCACCTCACGCCCGACGGTAACAACCCGTCGCAACCTGACCAGAGGTTCAAACCCGTGGTAGCCCAACCAAGGGAAATAAATAACCAATAACAAAACAGCACCATGAACGTCCATTACCGCTGTACTTACCTGAATGATTGTCCCAGGACAAGTGTGTACTCTAGGCCCAGTCGAAGTCAGTCGGTTTAGCTCTCGACCATTATCCACTGTCAGAACTATCCCATTAAAATGATTCCGATCTAATCGTCCGGCAACAAAACGGTCAACTCAGTTTAATTCGTTAGGCTAATCGATATATCGGAATACTATACTGCTTATATTACGTTATTATGATATAAAGATTGTAGTTATAGCTAGTATCCCTGGATATAAACATACTTAGGTTTCTGATTGGCTACGCTCGTCACTCTCAATACATGAAACATTAAACGACTTATATGTCTTAAGTGTAGGCACGGGTATATGGCAAACAAGCTTAAGATAATACAGATGGAACGACCGACAGCAATCGATACTATGAAAGAAAGTATTATTAATTTAAAGCTTCACTAATAAAACGGTATCATGTGACACTGGTTTAATAGTTTTCAGTGCCTTATATAGGAGACATGAACCATTAAAGACAAGTCGTGTAATTTGAGACTCCCCTGGCGTTTCCTTGATTTAACCGCTGCTGCCATAGTTTTCAGCAGTCTTCATAGATATCACAGTAGCCACCGTCAGTTTGCAATATACACAAAACTCGAGAAACATCCGGGTTAAAATAGGTCTTCAGCAATTTGTTTGTCGTAAGAGGCGACTAACGGGATCGGGTGGTCAGGCTCGCTGACTTGGTTGACACATGTTATCGTATCCCAATTGTGTAGATCGGTGCTCATGCTGTTGATCACTGGATTGTCTGGTCCAGACTCGATTATTTACAGGCCCCCATATGGCTGGAGTGTTGCTGAGTGCGGCGTTAAACAACAGTCAGTCAATCAGTCAATTAAATGTTGATAGCCATTTCACTTATATAACACGTACGTTTTTGAGGTGGGATGGGGTATTGGGTGGCATTCCAAAGCTAAATAGTTTGCGAAAAATGTAGGAAAACAGGAAAAAGACATAGACATTCCAGAAAAGGCACATATACTGTCTATTAGCTCTTACACAATTCTTTAAGACTCGTAAAGATCCGAGTTAGAATTGCTCTTAAGCAACCCATGTTTGTCATATTGATTAAAATGTGATTGAAAACAACAACAACAAAGCAATATACATAACTGACTTAACCATCATGAACACCATCAAAGTTATCGTTGTCGTCATCCTCTTGACTCCAAACGTCACTAAGCAGCAGCAACGACAAAGAATAACGATGACGACGACGTAACAAATTGGGATGTTATTTCTACTTCATATCAAATCAATACATGTTCTACACAAAGCACACGTGGGAATAATATATGTGTTATTCTCTTAAACATGTAACATTTCCTGTCCAAATGATTTTTTGTTGACTCATTATTTCGTTTTCAGATTATTTGACAATGAAGAAATCTATCAGATGTGGAATATGGAATGTATTGGAAATACTGTTATAACCTAATGTCTAGTCTGTCTCACTGTCCCTGAACCACATTATTTTCCCTACTGCCAAGCTCTCTCTGCAGTGCTGAAGCCCTAAATAAAGCAAGTCTAGAATCTCTGGTCTCCCTAGGGCTCCTTTTCAATATAAATGGGCTTGTTTGTTACTATCAAAATTATATATATTCAGAGACTAAGCCTTAGTCTACCTAATGTCAGCCACATCAGCGAGTCTGACAACCGATCCCATTCGTTATAATTATACAAAAAGTATTGGTATGTGGAGATTAATTCTAACCCGGACCTAAAGTACCATATACAATATCTTGACTATATTGAAGATATAGAGCTAGATGAATTTCTGGTGGAATATGTCATCAATGTTTTATTTATTTTCGATGACAACAACTTCTGGTAATAACTCAGACATTTCCTGCTAACCTGAAAATAACAGTTCTTTACGCTTATATTCAGTAATTGTTATGCTGCTAAAATAAATTCAAACATGAATTCAGATTTGTTGCTTTTCTTCAGTTAGACCAGAATGTTATATTTTTGTGAAAAACATGCCTTAATGATACATACTCTTAAAACACATGAAAAGTCTTTTGTATGCATATGACATTTTCATTTGGCCAGTATCTGGAGCAGTGTAGCAATTAGGTCGGTCGGAACATGCGATTCCGGCTGTCGAGCATACATCCATCACATGACAGTCACATGATTTCGGTGTAGTGTAAGTCACGTGTTATGCATAACGTTGGTGTTTATCGTCAATGATCACGCCTACATCGGTCAAGTCAAGTTACGATCACCACTCTTGTTGACAGACACATCATCATGAAGCTTCTTGTTTTTATGTTGACACTGGAAGTGATAACAGTTAGCGGACTGAACACAGGTAAACCACTTATTAAGAAGTGTTCGGTTTTCGAGCACAACATTTCGTGTGTTTGCTTTCAGACGATTATGGCACATTCTACTATGCCACTGTGTGATGTTTTCATTTAAATATAATCACGTTATATATGATTTTCCAACACAGTATGTATTTTTGCAAAATCTTAATAACGCGGTCGATGTATATAACGAAATTATAATAGCTCTAAATTTTTTATTTAAAAACCGTTATTATAATTTCCCCTCCATGTGATGTGAATGACACTTGTATTGTTTCATCGATGTGGAAACCGTTATTCCCATCCATGGTGTAGTGGTTAGAGCGTCCGCCCGGAGAGCGGAAGGTCGCGGGTTCGATACCAAAAGACGTTAAAATATGGTACTTTTTGGTCCCTGCCTGGCGCTCGGCATTAATGGGTACAACAAGGACTGGTCGGCTCGGAGTCAGTATAATGTGTCTGAGTGGGGTATACATGCTTCACTGCGGCATGGTATCTCAGTGGGCTAGCACTATAATACCAGCTTAAGTCTGGGCTAGTACAAGCAGCTGCACATACACATACACACGCATGCACGTCCTCATATGAGCGAAATATTCTCCAGGGCGACGTTAAACCCAGTTTCACCTCACCTCACCTCACCTCACCTCACCTCATAACTTCCTGTCATCCTGTATTTTAATAAGCGCCGGGCCTCTAATAAGTGCCGGGTCTGGAGGTCCGTTGAAAAAGTAACAGCCAGGGGCGCTTATTCCAGGAAATACGGTATGTACTGTCACTAACAGGGTCTAGGCACTATATAAAAGCTTAGTGCTTAGATCCCGTTAGTGACAGTACATACCTTGATGGCGATTTTTAGCGTTACAAGCCTCTGTGCCCACAAGACTCAAGAGCATTACTTTATTTCCTGAAAAAGAAATCAGTATTTTTGTCACAGATCTGCGTAGTTATAGAGAATACGTATTTCTGTGTTTCATTCATTGACCTTAAAGAGCTGATATGAAGGGGTCAACTTCTTAAGGTTATTAGAAAATATAAGGTTAGATTTCTACATTCTTAAATTTAGCAAGAAAAGTAGTATCATATCCCAATGGTTAGACTAAGGCTTAGTCTCTGAATATATATAATTTTGATAGTAACAATCAAGCCCATTTATATTGAAAAGGAGCCCTAGGTGGACCAGAGATTGAGGAAATCTAGACTTGCTTTATTTAGGGATTTAGCACTGCAGAGAGGGCTTGGCAGTAGGGAAATTAATGTGGTTCAGGGACTGTGAGACAGACTACCCAATGGTCTATGCTCATGATACTGATCACTTGATAGTCTGGTCCAGACTCAATTGTTTACAGACCACTGCCATATAGCTGGAATATTGCTGTGCCGCCATATAGCTGGAATATTGCTGCGACGCCATATAGCTGGAATATTGCTGCGCCACCTTGTAGCTGGAATATTGCTGCGCCGCCATATAGCTGGAATATTGCTGCGCCACCATGTAGCTGGAATATTGCTGCGCCGCCATGTAGCTGGAATATTGCTGCGCCGCCATATAGCTGGAATATTGCTGCGCCACCATATAGCTGGAATATTGCTGCGCTGCCATATAGCTGGAATATTGCTGCGCCACCATGTAGCTGGAATATTGCTGCACCGCCATTTAGCTGGAATATTGCTGCGCCGCCATTTAGCTGGAATATTGCTGCGCGCCATATAGTTGGAATATTGCTGCGCCGCCATATAGCTGGAATATTGCTGAGTGCGGCATTAAACAACAAACAAGCAACAGTGATGTTCAGGAGCATACTCAACAAATGAATGTTAATGCAAGTTCTCATGGCAGTAAATAGACATGCCGCACAATAAACAGTGTCACAGTTCTCACTACCACAATCAAGGGGGTGACTTTCTTTTGTCTAGTAATTCCAGGATTATGTGTCTGATATTATTCTTTTATAGATGTAGCATTTCATCTCTAACAATGTTGTAAGTATATGATAATTAGGACTGCACGGTATTACCGGTATAACAGTATATCACAATACGCTTTTCAAACAATATGTATTGCAATATTTTTTCTGAGAACCGGTATATTTGGTGAAGAACATATATGAAGTTTTTATGATTATCTTTATGGTCTAAATTAAACTCTACACAGACTTCACAATGTAATGTGAATGGTGAATTGCTCGCTTCTAAATTTGGTATGACATTTTCTGTTTTTAAATGATGTAATCAAATTATAGTCTTTAACATGGACTTTGTACTTGGAATATTTTGAATGAATACTTGATCAAAATGGCTGAAATAATGCCGAGAACTCAACTCAACTCAATGACACAGACTTTCATTCACAACTAATGTTTTCCTTCGTTATTCAATGACAAAACAGCATACTGTAATACTACAAATTGTATCAAAAAGAAAACAGAACCCATGACTTCGAAACCTAATCTTGAGATTGCTGTTATCAGAACTGAAACACATGTTTAGGGACTTATATTGTAGAAAATAGGATCGACATATACATTTAGTGTCACTCACTGTCAAGCACCTAAATTCCCATTATATCGCAAAACGTATCGCAATATGGGTACCTGAATTGCAATATATTGCTATATAATTTATTTGCCAATACACAACCCTAATAATAATCTCATTTACTTTCAGATAAACTTAGCAGTGGAAACATCAGGTGCAAACAACGAACATGCATAAGTGTTGATGATCGTAAGCAGGCAACAGCCTATGGCCAATATGATAACGCCCTGCTGGAGACCGGCTGGGGTGTGCTGGAGATTGTGGCAGGGAAGGGGGCACCTGCCTCCAATGATGACATCATGTTTGCATCAGGGATGTTGGAGGGCATGTTTACAGCAGAGTAAGTTGGTTGATGAATCTCAAACAGTCAACCAGCTTTAGCTTACATACAAATTCCAATGTCCTAATACCAAGTCCTTTGCACATTTACGACTAAAGATATATGAGTATTTGAATTAATGTGATAAATGAATGTGATATAGAGTAAAATATTTATAACATTTTAAAATCAGTTTGGTATATAAATCTTTATGTATTTGTGGGTTATTGCCTGAGTAATATTTTAATACCTGACAACACAGTCTCCCTTACGTTGCATGTCCATAATTTAGAAAATGAACCATTTCTAAAAACTGAGTCAAATGAAGCTTTAAAGTCAATAAATGAACAGTATAGTCTGCCCTTGTATATAGCTAAATACTTAGTAATTATGGAGCATAAAATCAAAATATTATTGAGGGTCTGAAAACCTTTGCAAAACCAAGCCTTCTCTGGTATCAAAAACTTACTTTGCCCAATGATATATAACACATTTGAGAAAAGCTTGCCAGACACCTCCAGAAGTGTGATTGACCTATAGGTTTGGGGAATGTTAGTGCTTCCCTTCTTGTGTAGGGAGGGTGCGATAGGGTGCCCTAGAGGTTAGAGCATTCGCTCGTCACTCAGAAGACCTGGGTTTGATTCCCCACATGGGTACAATGTGTAAACCCCATTTCTGGTAAAGCCCCTGCCGTGATATTGCTGGAATCTTGCTAAGAGCAGCGTAAAATCAAACTCACTCACTCACTTGTGTAGGGGTATGTTGATACCTCTTATCCATGGCTTTGGGTATATGTCATTGCTGGAGTGATATTTTGATATCTGACCATGCCTTCTCACATTCATATCATGACAAGGCATAATAAGATATTTCCTGGTTTCTTTTCAGTCAAATCTATGAGCATTATAAGAACATGCATGCAACATTCTTTGGCAACAAGAAGTCAAGTGAATATGAAGTGAAGGCCCGTAAGTTCATGATGCAACAGGATGCTTGGATGAGGCAGATGGTTGAGAAGAATCCATCGGACCCACTGTGGAGACATGTGGGCTATGTACTTGCCCAATTTGATGGCTTGGTGGCTGGATACAATCAGACTGCCAGTCCAGACAAGGTACATACTGCCTATCTATTTTTATTCCATTCTGTAACACCCGTGAAGATCTGGGTTAGAATTGGTCTTCAGCTACCAATGTTGCTGAAAATCATTTTTTTTCCATTTCCAAATTTAAGTTTGACTTAGGTCCAGTTGAGGTCAGGATTTGGTTCTGGAGCATGACTTACAGTCCGTTCAGTGCTTTTTGATCAAACTTTGGATATTTATTGGAATTTATTTTTCCCTTTACCATGTAGTGACTCCACTTTCCATGACAAGATATTACACTAAATAGTAACTTATGTTCAATTCAAGGAAGGGTCACAAAATACAATTTGTAGTTCCTGTGAGTGTGTAATGCCTTTGTATTTTCACACACGTCAGTCAGATGTCAGCTGGTGACTTGTGTCTTAAACTAAAGGTATTAGTGCCAGTCAGCATATTCATCAGTGTTTCATTCTTTGTCTTGAGTCTTGAGTGAGTGAGTAGGTTTAGTTTTATGCTGCACTCAGCAATATTCCAGCTATATGGCACCGGTCTGTAAATAATCAAGGCTGGACCAGACAATCCAGTGATCAACAGCATCAGCATTGATGTACACAATTGGGATATAATGACATGTGTCAACCCAGTCAGCGAGCCTGACCACCCGATCCTGTTAATCACCTCTTATGACAAGCATGGGTTACTGAAGATCAGTTCTAACCCGGACCTTCACGGGTGTTCTCTGTATTCAGTCTTGAGAACAATTCCATTTTCTGGGATTCTTTAATCTTGCACTCGTTGGAACAAAAATTTTACCTCTATCTGGGGGAATGTGAATATTTCACACTTATTAATACAATATTTTGGTATTTATTTCTGTATCAAGACATATTTCTCCAAATTTTCCTTCAGCCAGAGATCCCTATATCTAATGATTTTGTCAGCAAGAAAAGGTGCAATTCTAAATCTTCATTCATGTACTCAAAGAAAATAGGGTTGAATAAGTTGTGGTACATTACTGACATTATTAACATGTGGTTATTATTGAGGGTGTTGTTTTGGGGGTTTTTTTGGTTAAAAAATATTCTCTGTTCGATTTATGTAACTTGTCCAATTGTTGAATTATTCAGATACAAACACTCTAATACAATAACTTAGCAAGATTATATTGATACAATTCTTGTTGAACTAAATGTCTTTCCTTTTACTTTTGAATCAGTATAGTGTCAGGAGTTAATGTATACACACATTGTTTTATTATTATTATTTATTATTATGATTATTGTTGTTTTTGCAAACTTTATTGTTTGATGTGTTCATATTTGCAGGCCCTGGACGTATTTGCCTTCCAAGTGCTCAATGGAGTTGGTGACCTGTTGGACCTGAGGAATGCCCTCCTTCCGGATGAAATCCCGGATTGGACCAAGATGACCAAAACAGAGGCATTCAGATATATCCGACAGAACAGCCACTGCTCTGCTCTTATTAAGGTTCGTATATATATCTTCTCTTCCTTTTCTGTTTTTATGAAGTTTACAAATGTTGTGTTTTCTTTAAATGTGTGAAAATATTTTTTCTTCCTTTTCAGTCTGTTTTTATGAAGTGTATAAATGTTTTCTATCTTTAGATGTATGTCCTATGTATTTCTGGCTAAAGTAAGATAATAATGAATAAGACAGTGTGGTATGTGATGTAAGTTTCTTGGTTTTGAATAAAACCTGTGAAGATCCGGGTAGGAATTGGTCTGGCTGGAATATTGCTAAAATCGGCGTTCAACCATACTCACTCACTCATAATCATACCCATGAAGATTGGGGTAGAATATTGATCTTCAGTAACACATGCTTGTCATAAGACACTACAGGAGTGGGTGGTCAGGCTCACTGACTTGGTTAACACATGTCATCGTATCCCATTTGCGTAGATCAATGCTCATGCTGTTGATCACTGGATTGTCTGGTCCAGACTTGATTATTTACAGACTGCTGCCATATAGGTGGAATATTGCTGAGTATGGATGTTAAACAACAAACAAGCAAAACAAAATCATTTTGAACAACTTCTGTTTTATATGTGTTGTTGCAAGTTTTATATCTGCTTGGTTGAAAGGATGGGGGATATAGCGATCAGCCTGTCTGTCTGTCTGTTTTCTGTTTCTGGAGCAGTAGTTGTAAGCTGTTGAATATTCTTGATCAGATCAGACTAAGTGGTGCCTTTTGATGATTTAGGACTTTCATTGTTTATGATTTCATCTATTTTTCAAGATGACAAGTAGGACTTAAACTGAAAAAATTGGAATAGTGTCTAGACTCAGCAGTGACCATTTAACAGGGTACAGTGACTCCATGCAGTGGTTTTGATTGTTTGTTTGTTTGTTGTTTAAAGCCACCCTCAGCAATTTTCCTGTGAGTTATGACACAGATTGTATGTCTGACAATCTCTATATCCCCAGGTGCTGGGAGCATATGAAAATCTGTTCATGTCCCACTCCAGCTGGTTTGTGTATGCTGCCATGCTGCGGATCTACAAACACTATGACTTCAATGTAGCAGATCAGAAGACATCTGCCAAGAGAATATCCTTCTCCAGCTACCCAGGTGAGCTTCATGAATTAATGCTTTGTTCATGTTGCAGGGTCCATCAGTACCTGACTTGTGAGATGTTACTTTTCCTGGATATTATGACATTTGTGTTCAGAACGATGATATGTTCTAGTTGCAGGGTTTGTGGAGTCCTTAAACATGATATGTCCCTGTTCCTTGAGTCCCTGACTTAAATATGTTCCTGTTGCAGGGTTCTGAGGAGTCCCTGGAGTCTCTGACATGTTCCTGTTGCAGGGTTCTGAGGAGTCCCTGGAGGCTTCGTAGGAGTCCCTGGAGTGTCTGACTAAAATATGTTCCTGTTGCAGGGATCTGAGGAGTCCCTGACTAAAAGATGTTCCTGTTGCAGGGTTCTTGGGAGTCCCTTGAGTCCCTGACTAAAATATGTTCCTGTTGCAGGATTCAGAGGAGTCCTTTGAGTCCCTGACTAAAGCATGTTTCTGTTGCAGGATTCAGAGGAGTCAATGCAGTTCCTGACTAAAGCATTGCTCACAACGTCTAGAATGCCTCTCAAACAGAACATATTCCTGTTGTAGTGATCTGAAGTCCCTGACCATCATATGTTCCTGTTGCAGGTATTTTTTGAGTTCCTGGAGTCCCTGACTAAAAGATGTTCTTGTTGCAGGGTTCTTGGAGTCCTTGGATGACTTCTACCTGCTGGGCAGCCAGATGGTAATGCTGCAAACAACCAATAATGTCTTCAACAAAACACTCTTCTCCGCTGTCAAACCCAACTCACTCCTGGCCTGGCAGAGAGTCAGGGTCGCTAACATGATGGCCAACTCTGGCAAGGAATGGGCTACAGCACTCTCAAGATACAACTCTGGTGAGAATGTTCACACTATCAGTTCTCTGTACCACAAGATACAATTCTGGTGAGCATGTTTGCGTTCTCATATCTCTGTACCACCAGTATTATTTGAAGTGGCCTTGAGATTTCAGTCTTTGGCAGGTTATTGTTTGTTATTTACGCTGAATTTTCCTGAAAATACTTGAAAAAACTTTTACCACACATTGTACACACATTAATGTTTTCTTCGTAAACATATGCATGTCCAAAGATCCGGCTGAAAAATATTCTTCCTCTAACAATACTACCTCTCTGCTCCAAGATTGTTATACCTCTGAAGATCAGGGGTTAGAATTGATCTTCAGCAACCCATGCTTGTCATAAGAGGTGACTAACGGGATCCGGTTACATGGATAAATGCTCATGATGTTGATCACTGGATTGTCTGGTCCTGACTTGATTATTTACGGATGCCTCCATATAGCTGTAATATTGCTGAGTGCGCCGTAAAACAATAATCAGTCAATTAAATGTAGATAGTCATCTCACTTACATAACACATTTCTGTGGTGGGATGGGGGGGGGGGGCATTCAAAGCTATTGGTTTTAATTTTAAAAAGAAATCGTAGGAAAACAGGAAAAAGACATAAAAAGTCCTACTGCATTATCAGTATATTGCTACTGAACCATAAAAAATTGGAGTGTGTCATTGATCAATTGTTTTGCCTTACAGGGCAACACATGTGCTTTATTTGCCGCAGCTGTCTTGCTTGCAGGCAGACAATGATATCATGCCTTGTGCATTTGTGATGTCGTGTTTTGTATGGTGTAGGATGCAATATTTGGTATGGTATAGGATGCATTTTTGTTTTGGATGCAGTACTTTGTATGCTATAGGATGCAGTTATGTAAAGGATGCAATAGCAGGTAATGCAAATGATGTAGTATTTCGTATGGTATAGTATAGGATGCAATATTTTGTATACTATAGGATGCAGTTATGTAATGGATGCAATATTTCATAACTTATAGGAGGCAATGTCATGTATACTGTAGGGTTCAATATTTGATATGCTGTGTATGATGGTAATGAGTGAAATGGTATTTGAAGTACTGACTGACTGAGATGCTTTTAGCAGGCTGTAATTGGTAGGTATAGGATGCAGTATTTTGGATGGTATAGAATGCAATTTCTTATTATCATATAGGATGCAATATTTGCTATCGTGTAGGATACACTATTTGGTTTCATGTAGGATGTAATAGTATGTATGGCATAGGGTACAAGAGTTCAGATGATCTAGAATGCAACATTTAGTATCTTATAGCATGCAATATTTGGTATTGTTTAATATGCAATGTTTAGTATGGAAAAAAGTGCACTATTTAGTGCTGTAGAGGATGCAATGTTTAGTAAGGTCTAGGATGCAGTATTTAGTACTGTAAAGGATGTAATGTTTAGTAAGGTGTCGGATGCTGTATTTAGTGCTGTAGAGGATGCAATGTTTAGTAAGGTCTAGGATGCAGTATTTAGTACTGTAAAGGATGTAATGTTTAGTAAGGTGTCGGATGCTGTATTTAGTGCTGTAGAGGATGCAATGTTTAGTAAGGTCTAGGATGCAGTATTTATTACTGTAAAGGATGTAATGTTTAGTAAGGTCTAAGATACAGTATTAAGTAATGTAGAAGATGCAATGTTTGGTTAGGTTTAGGATGCAGTATTTAATTAGTAATGTAGAAGATGTAGTGTTTAGTAAGGTCTAGGATGCAGTAATTAGTACGGTAAAGGATGCCATGTTTAGTAAGGTGTAGGATGCAGTATTTAGCATCTGGTAAAACAGTGTCTAGTAGCAGAAATTACACAGTCTGTGGGCATCTGAATGCTGGCAGTCATGTTAGTTATATTTTATGAGTGCTTCCTGAGATTTGTGACTTTCTGAAATGACTGACTGTGTGAGGAAGGCAATGTTCGCCCTGTGGTCAGGTTCAGATCCCAGATTGTCAACAGTTTTTATCCGTGTTCTTTAAGAACCTTACCTTTTGACTGTGGACACAGCTTTTAAAGGGGAAGGGTGAACATTTAATTACAACATTCATGATGAATGCAAATAATTTGCAATTTGTGATTGGTATATGGATTACCCACACTGTATTATGCATGTCAGTGTTTTATGTTTGCACTTTTTCTGACAATTATTAAAAGGGATATGTGTTTACATGATCATCAGGGCACTATTATGGCGCTGAGCTCCATGCTGCACAGGCATGCTTTGAGCGCATACAACATAATGGTCATGTTTAACCCAAGCTGTCTCTAAGGTGCTAGAGGGTTAATAGTCATAATGACATATCCCATCTGGTACCCATTTATTTCTGGGTCTACACAGCCATTTTTGAACAAAATCACTTGCCTTAGTCGAGACTATCATGTGCGCTCGTTGTGGGGCAGGACTGAACTCGTAGAATCTCACACGGGTCAAGCTGCCAAACACAAGCCAGTAAATATACCAATCTTACACAGCGGAAACACTGACAAAGTTTGTGTGATGTATTAATGTTTCAGGAACATACAACAACCAGTATATGGTCGTGGACCTGAAGAAAATACAGCTGGGATCCACCATCTTGGATGATGCATTGTGGGTAGTGGAGCAGATACCCACACTGGTCAAGTCAGGTGACCAGACAGCGATACTTAGGACAGGTAACTCAACCCTTTGGGATAATATGGTCATGCTGTTATCATTATCTGTCAAATAACAAAAACTTTGTTTTGACTTGATAAATGATCTAAGGCACTGTGTCCCATGCTAATGGCTGTCCTATGTCGTCTATGAGTAGATGTGATGATCTTGTAGGTTACAGGCTGTATTGCATCGTCATCCTGTTCTGTGAGTAGTGAGTGAGTGAGTTTAGTTTTACACTGCTTTTAGCAGTATTCCAGCAATATCATGGCAGAGGACACCAGAAATGGGCTTCACACATTGTACCCATGTGGGGAATTGAATCCAGACCTTCAGCAGGACAAGCAAACACTTTAACCACTAGTCTACCCCACCGCCTGTTCTATGAGTAAATGTTGAGATGTTACAGATTACAGGGTGCCGTTGTACAACACGATCATCTTTGGTGGCCGTAACTGCCAGCGCTAAGGTTGTTTTGTATTACGGCACCCTGGTCGTCCTACAATGTCCTGTTCTGTAAATCGATGAGGCGATGTTGTTACTGACTGTCCTGTAATGTCCCAGTTTTCAGTAGATACTGATGTTGCAGGTTACTGGCCATCCTACAATGTCCCATTCTATGAAGAAATCTACCAACGTAGTGGCTACCCTGATTTTGTGGCACAGCACGGCTCTGACTTTTCCTACCAGCTGGCGCCAAGGGCCAAGATATTCCGGCGTGATGAGGGGAAGGTAGTAGACCTGGCATCCATGAAGCATATCATGAGATACAACAGTAAGCTGAAGCATACAAATATATTTTTTCACATGTTCTTGTGGCTTTTGGGAAGAAATATGTTTTCTGATACAACTGGTGTATGTAGGTCTACAAATTTCATAGAGGAAAATATACTCTTAACTCTCAGTTCCTTTAAAATAATTGAGCTATCTCCCACTATTTTTAATGGAATGGAAAATTATGAGGATATTCTCATGTTTATAACATCCGTACCTTTAACCTTTCATGAAATGTTTCAGTATTGAAATATTGGAAACATAATAAGAGATCTGTTTGTGGCCGGTGTACATGTTTGAGACTTGCTTGTGTAATCAGTGATTTCTTGCAAACCAATGTACACAGCTCTTGTCAAATGCATAAGGGCCCTAAACAAGTATTTCATCAATCGCTTACATGTTCATAAAACCTGTTCATGGGTGTTACAGAAATAAATGGACCCTGAACAAAGATTTAGTTATATGTTTAGTTGTTTTGTTTTTTGTTCTTATTTCATTAAAGGGATTCCATTTCAGACCCAAACAATTTTGTTGCAAAGAGTTTTAAGAAGTTATAAACTATATATTTTTCAAACCCAATGTTATTTGTTAACAAGACCTCTGAAAATCCAGAAATATAGAAAGTATGGTCTAAACTCTCATATGCTTAAAGGGATACTTCACAGATTAGTAACTGAATTCCATGTTTGCATTTTTTATATATTCCAATTTGTGTCAGATTACAAGCATGACCCTTACTCAGAAGACATGCCTTGCAACACCATATGTTGCCGTGGTGACCTGGATGCTGAAGAACCAGCACCTGATGGATGCTATGACACAAAGGTTTGTACAGAGACAAAATAGTAACCATGTACCTCTTTCTACTTTTTGAAGATTTTGTGATATTTTTGGTTAGTTTGTATCTTGGGGATTCTAGGTTAGAAGTGGTCTCCCACATGCTATGCGTTTTTTATTGTGAGTGAGTGAGTATGGTTTTACGTCGCTTTTTGCAATATTCCAGCAATATCACGGCAGGGGACAACAGAAATGGGCTTCACATATTGTACCCATGTGGGGAACTGAACCCAGGTCTTTGGTGTGACGGCGATTTTTAGAGGCATCTTAGTGGATTTGGTGGTCAGTCTTTGTGATTGGTTGATTGTGTGCCAGGCCCCCCTTGTATGTCTGGTATTACTGAGCACAGCAGTAAACTCATCCTCGATAATCTCCAGTGTATACGTTACAATCACTTTCCACTATACCCTGGATGCATCCACGGCTCGGCCCAATAATTATATTACCTCCCTTTGCTTGCTCCGCATTATCACAGTAGCCAATGAGCTAAGCCGCCGTTACATCCGAGCTTGCCAGTGTCAACAAAGATAGCGGTTGCAGTCGTGAAGGTTTGTTCGCAGTGACACTCAGATTTTGGGGGAAATAATACAGACAAATTGACAGATCTGAAACTTTAAAAAAAATATATGAAAGAACTCCTTCTACCTCTTTCAGAGTACCTCTGCGTCAATTGTGTTGCCAAGTTTAAACGGTTAGATAATTTAGGAAGCGAAAGTGAGTTGTGATTGGTTCGCTCAACTTCCCAGCGTAGACACCTGATTGGATAAAAAGCCGGCCAAGGGAGGTAATATTATTATGAGGCCAGCCGTGGATGCATCCAGGGTATAGTGGAGAGTGTCCGTAACGTATACCCTGGAGATTATCGAGTATGCAGTAAACAACAAGCAAACATTTCTGTCAGACGTGTCAGACCACATGGGTAAACAAATACATGTGGCTTACTCTAAGTGGTTCGGGCTGTGGGGTAGACTAGTGGTTAAAGCATTCGCTCGTCACGCCGAAGACCCGGGTTCGATTCCCCACATGGGTACAATGTGTAAAGCCCATTTCTGGTGTCCCCCACCGTGATATTGCTGGAATATTGCTAAAAGTGGCGTAAAACCAAACTCACTCACTCACTCTAAGTGGTTCACATATACAGATAAATGTTGGTCTGTGAGTTTGTCATCTTCTGATCACTTGTTTTAATGTGATGTCACTATAATCACTATAATCACTATAATCACTATAATCTTGAATTCCAGGTGGCAGACTTTAACATGGCCTTGAACTTGACTGCTGACGTGATAAATGGACCGACCCTTGGAACCAGTCTTCCCCCATTCAAATGGACGCCAAAGTTCAACGTGTCTCATGTTGGTCTTCCACCAGTGTATGACTTCAAGTTTCTGCGAACAAGGCCTTCTCTAGAGAAACCATAGTCTAAGCTGCCTAACTGAGATTACTGAGCCGGAATGTTTGAAGAACATCCAGCTTTAGTTATATAACATTCCACCAAGTGACTTTGGGAGTTTAACATAAAACCTCTACTGTAAAACATGGTTATTATGAGCATCAACTCATTTGTTTTTCATATGAGTGTTTGTTAGTAGGGAATCTTGTCTGACATTTTGAATAACTTAGCAACTCAGATTCACCATGTGACTTGGTACACAATTTCAAATAATCCCCTTGTCACTGATATTGTTTATAATAAACTTTACTATTCAGAATTCAGAACTACTTCTGCTGATAAGGATTATTGATGTTGATGTTGATGTTGATGTTGATGTTGACGTAGTCACAGTCTGGTGTAAATACATACTGTACTGATGAACACTGAGCTTCACTAACTGAGCTTCACTAACAGGGATTTATTTAGACCTTCTCAGGCCCTGATATTTGACGTCTGCAGCAAATGTCATTTAAAATTCCAAAATTGGAATTGTAAATTTCCCAGTTTATGTAGCAACTAATACTTAATTATGTAACTTTGCTGAGGTAACCTATATTTCACTGATAACGGGGGCGTGGGGCAGCCTAGTGGTTAAAGCATTCGCCCGTCACGCAGAAGACCTCATTCGCACATGGGTACAGTGTGTGAAGACGATTTCTTGTGTCCCCTGCCGTGATATTCCTGGGGGGAATATCAATTCATTACTCTCCAGAAATTTTATATCATAAATTTTAAGTAGACAGAAACAGTTAAATTTGTTAGTATGCTATATCTGTGTTCATGATAATCATATTCCACTGTATATAATCAGGAGGTCCTTGTCTGACATTTAGCGAAAAACTGTGATATATACCTACAGAGGAACTGGTAATTTATTATTTGGGAGGGGCTGGTGAGATTGAGTGGAATCATCTCTGTCCCTCTAACCCAGCCCCATACCTCTCAAGATAGGTCTATGTCCCTATTACCCAGCCCCTTACCGCCCGCTCAAGTAAATGACAGGTCTATGTCCCTGTAACCCAGCCCCTTACCACCCACTCATATAAATGACAGGTCTCCGAGAGTGTCCCTGTAACCCAACCCCTTACCACCCACTCAAATAATGGCAGGTCTCTGTCCCTCTAACCCAGCCCCTTACCTCCCTCTCAAGTAAATGACAGGTCTCTGTCCCTGTAACCCAACCCCTTACCACCTACTCAAATAATGGCAGGTCTCTGTCCCTCTAACCCAGCCCCTTACCTCCCACTCAAATAATGGCAGGTCTTTGTCCCTCTAACCCAGCCCCTTACCTCCCTCTCAAGTAAATGACAGGTCTATGTCCCTATAACCGAGCCCCTTACCACCCACTCAAGTAAATGACAGGTCTATGTCCCTTTAACCAAGACCCTTACCCACCACTCAAATAAATGACAGGTCTCCGAGAGTGTCCCTATAACCAAACCCCTTTCCACCCACTCAAATAAATGGCAGGTCTCTGCCCCTATAACCCAGCCCCTTACCACCCGCTCAAATATTGGCAGGTCTCTGTCCCTGTAACCCAACCCCTTACCAACCACTAAAATGAATGACAGGCCTATGTCCCTATAACCCAGCCGCTTACCACCCATGCAAATAATGACAGGTCTATGTCCCTGTAACCCAGCCCCTTACCACCCACTCAAATAAATGGCAGGTCTCTGTCCCTATAACCCACCCGCTTACCACCCTCGCAAATAAATGACAGGTCTATGTCTCTGTAACCCAGCCCCTTACCACCCGCTCAAATATTGGCAGGTCTGTGTCCCTGTAACCCAGCCCCTTACCACCCACTCAAATAATGGCAGGTCTGTGTCCCTGTAACCCAGCCCCTTACCACCCACTCAAATAAATGACAGGCCTATGTCCTTATAACCCACCCGCTTACCACCCTCGCAAATAAATGACAGGTCTATGTCTCTGTAACCCAGCTCCTTACCACCTGCTCAAATAATGGCAGGTCTCTGTCCCTCTAACCCAGCCCCTTACCTCCCTCTCAAGTAAATGACAGGTCTCTGTCCCTGTAAACTTTTCAGGTATGTCTCTCTGTCCCTTACCACCCACTCAAATAAATGGCAGGTCTCTGTCCCTCTAACCCAGCCCCTTACCACCCACTCAAATAATGGCAGGTCTCTGTCCCTCTAACCCAGCCCCTTACCTCCCTCTCAAGTAAATGACAGGTCTATGTCCCTATAACCCAGCCCCTTAACCACCCACTCAAGTAAATGACAGGTCTATGTCCCTTTAACCAAGACCCTTACCCACCACTCAAATAAATGACAGGTCTCCGAGAGTGTCCCTATAACCCAACCCCTTTCCACCCACTCAAATAAATGGCAGGTCTCTGTCCCTATAACCCAGCCCCTTACCACCCACTCAAATAATGGCAGGTCTCTGTCCCTGTAACCCAGCCCCTTACCTTCCTCTCAAGTAAATGACAGGTCTCTGCCCCTATAACCCAACCCCTTACCAACCACTCAAATAAATGGCAGGTCTCTGCCCCTATAACCCAGCCCCTTACCTCCCTCTCAAATATTGGCAGGTCTCTGTCCCTGTAACCCAACCCCTTACCAACCACTAAAATGAATGACAGGTCTATGTCCCTATAACCCACCCGCTTACCACCCTACTCTCTCAAATAAATGACAGGTCTATGTCCCTGTATCCCAGCCCCTTACCACCCACTCAAATAAATGACAGGCCTATGTCCCTCTAACCCAGCCCCTTACCTCCCTCTCAAGTAAATGACAGGTCTATGTCCCTATAACCGAGCCCCTAACCACCCACTCAAGTAAATGACAGGTCTATGTCCCTTTAACCAAGACCCTTACCCACCACTCAAATAAATGACAGGTCTCCGAGAGTGTCCCTATAACCCAACCCCTTTCCACCCACTCAAATAAATGGCAGGTCTCTGCCCCTATAACCCAGCCCCTTACCACCCACTCAAATAATGGCAGGTCTCTGTCCCTGTAACCCAGCCCCTTACCACCCACTCAAATAATGGCAGGTCTCTGTCCCTGTAACCCAACCCCTTACCACCCACTCAAATGAATGACAGGTCTCTGTCCCTATAACCCAACCCCTTACCAACCACTCAAATAAATGGCACAAATATTGGCAGGTCTCTGTCCCTGTAACCCAACCCCTGTAACCACTAAAATGAATGACCCCTATGTCCCTATACCGCTTACCACTCCTCAAATAAATGACAGGCCTATGTCCCTGTATCCCAGCCCCTTACCACCCACTCAAATAAATGACAGGTCTATGTCCCTATAACCCACCCCCTTACCACCCACGCAAATAAATGACAGGTCTATGTCCCTGTAACCCAGCCCCTTACCACCCACTCAAATAAATGGCAGGTCTCTGCCCCTATAACCCAGCCCCTTACCACCCACTCAAGTAAATGACAGGCCTATGTCCCTATAACCCAACCCCTTACCACCCACTCAAGTAAATGACAGGTCTATGTCCCTATAACCAAGACCCTTACCCACCACTCAAATAAATGACAGGTCTCCGAGAGTGTCCCTATAACCCAACCCCTTTCCACACACTCAAATAAATGGCAGGACTCTGTCCCTGTAACCCAGCCCCTTACCTCCCTCTCAAGTAAATGACAGGTCTCCGAGAGTGTCCCTATAACCCAACCCCTTTCCACACACTCAAATAAATGGCTGGACTCTGTCCCTGTAACCCAACCCCTTACCACACACTCAAATAAATGGCAGGACTCTGTCCCTGTAACCCAACCCCTTACCACACACTCAAATAAATGGCAGGTCTCTGTCCCTATAACCCAGCCCCTTACCACACACTCAAATAAATGGCAGGTCTCTGTCCCTGTAACCCAACCCCTTACCAACCACTCAAATAAATGGCAGGTCTCTGCCCCTATAACCCAGCCCCTTACCTCCCTCTCAAATATTGGCAGGTCTCTGTCCCTGTAACCCAACCCCTTACCAACCACTAAAATGAATGACAGGCCTATGTCCCTATAACCCACCCGCTTACCACCCATGCAAATAAATGACAGGTCTATGTCCCTGTATCCCAGCCCCTTACCACCCACTCAAATAAATGACAGGCCTATGTCCCTATAACCCACCCCTTACCACCCACTCAAATAAATGACAGGTCTATGTCCCTGTAACCCAGCCCCTTACCACCCACTCAAATAAATGGCAGGTCTCTGCCCCTATAACCCAGCCCCTTACCACCCACTCAAGTAAATGACAGGCCTATGTCCCTATAACCCAACCCCTTACCACCCACTCAAGTAAATGACAGGTCTATGTCCCTATAACCAAGACCCTTACCCACCACTCAAATAAATGACAGGTCTCCGAGAGTGTCCCTATAACCCAACCCCTTTCCACACACTCAAATAAATGGCAGGACTCTCTGTCCCTGTAACCCAGCCCCCTTACCACCCATCTCAAATAAATGACAGGTCTATGTCCCTATAATCCCAACCCCTTACCACTTACCACTCAAATAAATGGCAGGTCTCTGTCCCTATAACCCAGACCCCTTACCACACACTCAAATAAATGGCAGGACTCTGTCCCTGTAACCCAACCCCTTACCACACACTCAAGTAAATGACAGGTCTCTGTCCCTATAACCCAGCCCCTTACCACCACTCAAATAAATGACAGGTCTCTGTCCCTATAACCCAACCCCTTTACCACACACTCAAATAAATGGCAGGTCTCTGTCCCTGTAACCCAGCCCCTTACCACCCACTCAAGTAAATAACCATGTTCTAATCCCAGAAATGTTTTCAATTAATTTTGTAAACTAATGTATTTGTGACTTTTCACAGTTATTTATCCAATTGATTGGTCTCATAACATAGCCAACGAGTCAGAGTTGAAGGTACCATGTGAAAACATTTTGTGGTAATATACATTGTATTTGATTGGATGTTTTGGATGAAGATAAAATTGTATATTTCCTGTGAATAGTACGCACCTACCTGCTGCCCAAGCCCTGGATTGTTTGAAACTGTGACATTGTGTTGGTGGGTTGGTTGTAATTGGGTAACTGTCTGGAGGCCAGGTTGGCACAGTAGTCTATAGGTGTGTAGAGTTTTGTCCCTTTGGCGTGCCAGGATCCGATAATTGGTGGTTACATTTGCCCAGATGCTCACCCATCACCATACCTTTGATTGTGGCTTCCACCAAACTGACACTTCACGACTTGTCATGAAAGTCAAAGTGGCATGACACTGAAATCACTTATGGCATTGTCTGTCTCACTGAATAATCAGGTCAGGTCAAACACCTGGGTAGTTTCAGTTCAAGTCAAACAGAGTGAATTTGACTGTTGTAACCAATGTTGTAGCTTTGTAAAGTTGACCTTGTATTTCACTGAATACAAAATCCCAATTTACTGCAAAATAACAATTTTTCCCAAATTTTCCTGAGGTATGTTTTTGCCAGGTTGTTCGATATCTGAGCATTCTATTGATTGGGTGTGATTTGAGTGTATTGTTGTCTATGAGCAAACACAAATATTCCCTAGGCTTACTAATGGTTTATCTATTTGGCACAACCATTGTTAGGATTGTCACCTGATGTTTGTGTGTTATTTCATATGAATGTATACAGTATGTTTTGTCTCCTTATATATCTTGTATAAAAACAATGTTTTGGGCAAGTTATAATTTTTTATTTTCAACTTCACTGAGAATATGGTTTCAATTAGTTGAATACACCTTTGTTACAATACAGTACCTTTGTAGTAAATGCAGACACTTTTTCATATATGCATTGATGTCACAAGACCCTTAGAATGTCTTCATTGTTGCTTCAAAGTCTCTTCTCCTTTTTTGGAAGCTGATTTGTTTTGTCTTAATTTTGATAGTTGTTTGTAAGATTTCATGTAATGAAATATATGAGTAATTTTGTTTCTTTATAATTTTCTTTTCACATTGATTGTATAAATGAGAACACTAAATATATGTTTTTCAGATACATCATGCATGTATTACTAGAACTTTCAGGGTTACTATGCTTAATGCAAACTCTTATGGACGGAAAACACCCAGTGTAGTCACATTAAATAGCTGTTATGTGATTTAAGTGTGTTTAGGTTCTAATTTACCTTTTGGTGCATGTATTGTATTTCATACAGCTAGATTTCTTCTAAATGTTATGTAGACAAATTCCATGTCATTACACCCAAATAACTGATGAGGACAAAGCCAGTTTCACAACCAGGTGTTCAAGAAATCGAGGACTTCTTCTTGTTGCTCTTCGCTTGTGATTATTCATGCCTGGAATATTGGCAATTCTTAATCAGCTGTATATAGTCTGTATATTATATGCCCTGCGAGAGTACTAGTAAATGACATATATTGGTTCATGGCCCCTCCATACATGGGGAAGGGCTTCTTGTAAGATTTGAACATTGAAGGACTTCATTTTCAGTTTTCAAATTTTTGCTTTGTATGCAAATCATTTCCAGTTTTATTCTGATTGTTTCAAGCCGATTGTCCTGTTGCCCTTCAGTGTGAAGGCAAGTAGCGTGATTGTATCTAGGGCTCCACACTCCTGTATTAGGCCTGCATCAGGCCTGTAGTTCCAAATGTATGTGGGACTGTATGGCTTGCTGTATAATATTTGTGCCAATTTATTTTTCCCAATAAATTGAATATTTTCAATGGTGGACTGGATAGTTTAACCAGGGCCTCAAGATTCTATCTTCTGTGGGTCTTGATGGATTTCAAACACTGATCATATCTGTATACCATTGGTTTATCCGAAATAAAAGTGTTTATTTTTTATGCATGTTTTTATTTGTGTTATTTCCATTATTCTGTCATTGTTATTAAATAACTGTGTGGTCATGATTCACTTGTGGTGAATGGTTGTTCAGTCTTCTGAGGCGCCAAGTTTAACTGTGCTCTGTTACCTCCCTTTGGAATGTCAGGAACCAATGGTCATGGGTTAGAATTCACAATATTCCTAGATTATGTGTCCAGGTTTGTCAGCATCCTACAGATGCAGGAAGGGTCAGACAAACCCCATGAGCTGTATAAGTTCGGATGTTTCTCCCACAGTATGCTGTCGGGCTGAGATAAAACTGAAATATTGTTAAAAGCAGGTAAAACCAAAAACCCCTCGTCCATAACCCCCAGTCATGTGTACTTGTGGATTCCTAACTTACATGTAGTTGTCTTTACTCCACTGCTTGTCTCGCTGACATGTTGTCTTTGTTTAAATCATTAGTCTAACGAATATTTTAAAGTTGAGTAGAGGTGACCGCAACGTTAACATCATCGCGTGAAAGTGCAACAGAGTACGGCAACAATATGAACACAAATATGGCATGTGTGTGACACAAGGTACGGCAACAATATGAACACAAATACGACAACACCATGGCAGCCCACTGAACACCATGACGCAGGTACGGTAACAATATGAACACTCAGACACGGCATACTGACTCTGATCCGTACAGGCAACAATATAAACATAAATATCAAGCACCATGACAAGGTAACGGCAACAATATGAACATAAATACGGCAACACCATGGCAAGGTACGGCAACAATATGAACACAAATACGGCAACACGGCGACTGGTACGGCAACAATATGACAAACGGCAACAATATAAACATAAATACGGCAACACCATGGCAAGGTACGGCAACAATGTGAACATAAATACGGCAACACCATGACAAGGTACGGCAACAATATGAACACAAATACGGCAACACCATGACATGGTACGGCAACAATATGACAAGGTACGGCAACAATATAAACATAAATACGTCAACACCATGACAAGGTACGGCAACAATATGAACATAAATACGGCAACACCATGGCAAGGTACGGCAACAATATGAACATAAATACGGCAACACCATAGCAAGGTACGGCAACAATATGAACATAAATACGGCAACACCATGACAAGGTACGGCAACAATATGAACACAAATACGGCAACACCATGACAAGGTACGGCAACAATATGAACACAAATACGGCAACACCATGACAAGGTACGGCAACAATATGAACACAAATACGGCAACACCATGACAAGGTACGGCAACAATATGAACACAAATACGGCAACACCATGACAAGGTACGGCAACAATATGAACACAAATACGGCAACACCATGACAAGGTATATATAACTGACAAACTGATAAGAAACATTCAAATTTAACGTTATATCGTATATCCGTAAGCGGAGCCGATATAACGTTAAATTTGCGGCTATATAACCACCGGTATACGTCCCCAATTCGTCAAACACATTACAGTTAGCCCCATTCTAATTCAACTCGGTTTACGCTGTTTTTCGTGAAAGAAATTCATTATTTAAACCAGGTCAAAGTTCCTCTAGGTCAAAGGTTAATCATATCACTCCTTGAACTTACACCATCGCCAGAAAAAGTAGTTCCCTATTCAAACTTCAACACGTTTATTATGTGCACACTGTCTAAATCTGATAATGATGAATAAATCATAGTGTTATAGATAAAATGGACGGAATTATGATGAAACCACTCTCTACGGGCCTTTATCAGTTGTGTTGTGAAATGACGTCACAGCAGGTGACGGCATGCTCCATAATGACGTCATAATCTTGTTACTAACAGTGTTGTTCAACAGCCCGTTGCGAGTAAGTTGTTTGAACTTAAAATTAAATTTATGATACTGTTTTGTCTTTTCTAAACACACATTCCACCCATTTTAGCTGGATAGGGAGTTAATTGGCAAAGGGCTTCTGCAAAATGACAATGCCCTGAAAACAGCGTTCCCAATTGTGTAGGAATACAATCTAAGATTTGGGTGAATCGGTTTTCAAATTGCGACCGTATATGCTGATTATACGGTCGGAAATGTATAGTATTGACCAATCAGAACTCGTGTTACATTCTAAGTTGAATTAGACATTAACATTTAAGGGACTATATGTAATACGTTTATTTAAGCGCTAAGAGTGCCATACAATATTAACTTACGACTATCTTAGCGCTAAGAGAGCCAGTATCGCAATACAGTTACAGTAATTTTTAGCCACTGGTTTGTGAGTAGAGTTCCTTTGTGTATTCACATTTCAAGGCTATTTTTATTATAAAGGAAACTACAGTCAACTACGTTTATGAAGAACACGCTTATAACGAACTGTCGGATATAACGAACTGTTTTAGTTGTCTCGAGCACTCTGCGATATATTTTAGTCGTCTAACGAACTACGGTTACTGAATGCCGAAGTAGTATCAGTGCTCCCTTTAGGACAAGTTACCTGGCCCCCTTACCTACTCTACCGTAGTTTTACAATTTGAAACATGCCTCAACTGAATTTTTTAGTCTCTTCCCAATGTGTTCTTAGTCTCTTTCAATGTATTAGGACAATCATTTACCTGCGGACTCTATCAGAGAAGCAGACTTAAGTTTGTTTGAAATGACTAAAACTATGTGAATGACTGAATACTCTCAACTGTCTAAGATCAACACGACGAAAATCCCTATATCTGTGTTATTAGTGTCCATCTGTTTGCACATTTGGACGGGAAGCCCTAGCGGTGGTCTCAACGTCATGGTATTTCAAGCCCGAGTCGACAACATGGCTTAAACAACCTACCATACTTGTACTTAAGCTTATACGTAATGGGCACTTTGGCCTGGCACGTGGCATTCTATACTAATATGTAGATGGCTGCATCCAAGGTTGTGGACGCTTTCATGCTGTCAATAATAAAGGAAGTCTGAGTCTGTTGATATGATGATAACGAGAATATTGACATATTCCTTTATATTTCTTGGTTTCTATTTTGACCAGAGACTAACATGGGGTTCTAACATATCTCATGTCTCATTGTTATATATCTGCTGAAATGTACTGCCACAAAGTTGCAATTGGATGCTAATAAACTATCTCTGTTGTTGCCTTTTAAAACATTAATACTATCGAGGCTTGACTATACCTGCCAAATGTCATCTCTCCAAACTTGGCCGTTTCTATCAAAGGCTTTGCGAATCTGGGCGGTGCCTTTGCAACTACTCAGTTTTAGCTCTCCAGGTTGAAAACTTAGAAATGCTGCTCGGTATTCGTCGTGAACTTATGTCTCTCAAATATTATCTCAAACTAAAATCTGAAAAGTACTATAATTCAGCTACTGATGCGGATAGTCTAGTGGTTAAAGCGTTCGCTCGTCAACCGGGGACCTGGGTTCGATTCCCCATATTTCTGGTGTCTCCCTATTGCTGGAATATTGCTAAAAGCGGCGTAAAACCCAAGTCACTCACTCACTCAAATGATTCGGCCTTGGTTCGAACTACTGAATCATACTGAATTTCAGAATTTGACACCTCAACTGTGGTCAGTCTAAATGACCATCTCTCAGCTGAACTAATAGCTATTCTTCAATCTATAAAGGTGGGTTAATGAACATGATACACTGAGGATTGGTGGTTACAGCAGTGTCACTGATACACTATGGATTAATGTTTACAGCAGTGTCACTGATACACTGTAGATTGAAGGTTACAGCAGTGTCATTGATACACTGTGGATTGATGGTTACAGCAGTGTCATTGATACACTGTGGATTAATGGTTACAGCAGTGTCATTGATACACTGTGGATTAATGGTTACAGCAGTGTCACTGATACACTGTAGATTGATGGTTACAGCAGTGTCATTGATACACTGTGGATTAATGGTTACAGCAGTGTCATTGATACACTGTGGATTAATGGTTACAGCAGTGTCATTGATACACTGTGGATTAATGGTTACAGCAGTGTCAGTGATACACTGTGGATTAATGGTTACAGCAGTGTCATCGGTACACTGTGATTGATTGTCAATGGTTACAGCAGTGTCATTGATACACTGTGGATTGATGGTTACAGCAGTGTCATTGATACGTTGTGGATTGATGGTTACAGCAGTGTCATTGATACACTGTGGATTGATGGTTACAGCAGTGTCAGCAAGTGATACACTGTGGATTGATGGTTACAGCAGTGTCATTGATACGCTGTGGATTGATGGTTACAGCAGTGTCATTGATACACTGTGGATTAATGGTTACAGCAGTGTCATCGGATACACTGTGGATTGATGGTTACAGCAGTGTCATTGATACACTGTGGATTAATGGTTACGTTGGCAGCAGTGTCATTGATACGCTGTGGATTAATGGCTACAGCAGTGTCATTGATACACTGTGGATTGATGGTTACAGCAGTGTCATTGATACACTGTGGATTGATGGCTACAGCAGTGTCATTGATACACTGTGGATTGATGGTTACAGCAGTGTCAGTGATACACTGTGGATTGATGGTTACAGCAGTGTCATTGATACACTGTGGATTGATGGTTACAGCAGTGTCATTGATACACTGTGGATTGATGGTTACAGCAGTGTCATTGATACACTGTGGATTGATGGTTACAGCAGTGTCATTGATACACTGTGGATTAATGGTTACAGCAGTGTCATTGATACACTGTGGATTAATGGTTACAGCAGTGTCATTGATACACTGTGGATTAATGGTTACAGCAGTGTCATTGATACACTGTGGATTGATGGTTACAAGCAGTGTCATTGATACACTGTGGATTAATGGTTACAGCAGTATCATTGATGGCAGTGGATTAATGGTTACAGCAGTGTCAGTGATACACTGTGGATTGATGGTTACAGCAGTGTCATTGATACGCTGTGGATTGATGGTTACAGCAGTGTCAGTGATACACTGTGGATTGATGGTTACAGCAGTATCATT